TATCCGAAACTTAACCTTATTGGCCGAATTTTTCCGAACTTATCGCACTAGTGGGTCCCACGACCACTATTTATTCTTAATTTTCTAAAAACTCACCAATGCTAGAAAAATCATCTTAAAACTGTAATTGCTCATAAAATCCTCTCAGAAAATATTTCTAAGCCAGAAAATGCAAAATTATGCAATTAAAGGGGAAATAACTCTAGGAAAAATATTAGGGTTTTACGGGCTCTCACAGTCGTCACAAAATGAGATTGTTTAGTCACGACTTTGAAGGTTGTCACAATTGACTCAAAGTAACTGAGTTTTCAGTGACAACTTTTAATTGTCGTCACAAAACTACTTCGCGCCATGGGACTTGGAAGGCGCGAGTTTTGCGATAGTGACGACTTGATAAAAGTTGTCAGTAATTCTACCACTTTCTTTGACAACTTTTCATTGTTGTCACTGTTTATGTTTCTTGACGACCAATTTTTGTCAATAAAACTATAGTGTAGTTAGTGACAACATAAGTATCATCACTAACTTGAACATCTCTAATGCATTTATTTAATTGTGAACCTCAATATTAATTTATTTTTTTTTAAATTTGATGATTTATTAAACTAGTCATAGTTACTTAAATATTAATTTAAGTTATTTACGGACGACTTTTTGTTGTCGTCACTGATCACTAAAAAAAATGTTATTAGTGACAAAATTTTGTAGTGATGACAATAAGTCGTCACAAAAGGAGCTTCTTTAGTCGCGACACCTAAAGTTGTCACAATTGCATCAAAGCAACTAAATGTTTAGTGACGACCCGTTATTTTCGTCACAAACTACACTGCAAGAAATATGGTCATTAGTGACAACATTTTTTAGTGACGACAAAAGTCGTCACAAAACGTGGTTGTTTAGTGACGACAAAGAAAGTTGTCATAATTGCTTAAAGCAAATAAGTCTTCAGTGACGACCTTGAAAAAGTTGTCACTAAAATGATCTCTATAGTGACAACTTCTAATATCGTCACCGTCACTCTACCGATTCGGATTTAGTGACAAGAATTAATTGTCACTGTTTAAAGTAATTATTTTTAAGTCACTTTCATTAATTCTACTGTGTCACCCTAACTTTTGCGATTTAGCCCCAAATGTTGTAAAAAATTTCATTAATTCCATTATGATACCTTAACTTTTACAATTTAGCTCCATATGTAGTACACCGATTTCTTTAATTCTATTATTACTCCCTAACTTTTGTAATTTAGCCCCATATTTAATTCACCAATTTCATTAATTCTATTATGGCACTCTAACTTTTGCAATTTAACCCCCATATGTAATACACCAATTTTATTATTTCTATTATGGCACCCTAGCTTTTACAATTTAGCCCCTATTTTTTTATTAGGAAATTGCGAATGGTATCTTGATAAACTATGCATAAATATTTTATAATTTTCTCAAACTTAAGTAATAATTTGTTATAAACTCTAAAGATATATCTTTCATTACACTAGTTATAAGGCAGACAGGTCTTTTTATCAATGGAATAAGAAATTTATGCCAGATTTATCTTTTGTACTACATGCCAAGTAGTATTAGCAAAGGAATAACAAAGTACTACAAAGTAATTAACAAAATAGCCTTCAGAGAGTGTAGTTTATGGGCAAATGAGCATTATCTATTCAAAGTACCAACTTTTTATGGGTATTTTACTTTCAAACATATAATTTATGATAAATTTATAAATGTTTGTAAGTAAAATTCAAAAAGTGTTACACTGATTTCTTACAAAACGAAAACTGGCATGTTATCTTTTCAACATAAATTAAATTTTTTTTAAAAAAGAAATGACCCATAAAGTACCAACTCTTTGTGGGTTTCCTCCATTACATGAACTTTGGTGATAACATTATGTCATCATTAAATTTTCTTTGATTTTGACTTAACAATAATGTCTTATTAATAGCATTTGATTATTTTTAATGAAAGTCTGTTATAACCATAGAATTTGACTTTCGTTATTTTCAATTACATGATGTTCTTTAGTGCTGCAATTATAAGAAATTAGTATAAAATATTAACAAATTATAAAAGTACATTTTCAATTATATGAAATTAACAAATTTTGCCACCTATGTTGATGAAAATTTTTATTTTTTGCTAAAAAATAAAGAATAATACTATAGCATTAAAAGGCAATTCGTCAGGCAAATATCCTTCAAAAGGCAATGCTACTTTAAACATATTTTTCTACTTTTGCCCACGTCAATTCATCAGGAAAAGTTTTCGTTTTCCCACCATTTTTTTACCACCAATTTTTTTCCTTTTCGCCCAAAAAAGAATTTAGACGGACATTAACTTATAGTAGGTTGCAAAATGGCCTTCACAAAAGCCCCAATCTTCATCATCCTCTTCCTCATCACCCTCCTCCCGATCTCCACCAATTCTCAAGACCCCAGTTCGGATTTGCTCTTGCAGCTCGAATCCCTCCAATCCCAGTCCCCCAAAGGCGGCGTTATCCATCTCACTGATTCCTTCAAACGGATTCTATCCATTCCAACTCATCATCCCTGTACTTTCCTCGTCTTCTTCGACGCCCAACAACTCCACTCCATACCCGAACTCTCCCTCCCTTCTCTCAAATCCGAGTTCTCCCTCGTCTCTAAATCCTTTTTAGCCAACAACCCTCCAACTTCTCACTCAAAACTCTTCTTCTTCGACATCGAATTTCAAGAATCCCAGTCCTTTTTCGCCTTTTTCGGAGTAAATTCTCTGCCCCACACCGATGTCAAGAAAGACTCCGTCCAGATAAATGCATCAGATTTCTCGAGGCTCGCCGAATCCATGGCTGAATTTGTCAAGGCCAAAATGAAGCTGAGCATTGGGCCAATTGATCGCCCCTCTTTGATTTCTAAGAAGCAATTGATGTTTCTCATTGCTGTTATTCTGATTTCGGCTCCATTCTTGGTGAAAAAAGTGATTTATGGGAACACCCTTTTGCACAATAAGAGTATTTGGATGACCGGAGAGATTTTTGTCTACTTTTTCAGTGTCTCCGGTTCAATGCATAACATAATTAGGAAAATACCCATGTTTTTGGTTGATAGGAATGACCCTGGGAAGTTGGTTTTCTTTTATCAGGGGGTCCGGGATGCAATTGGGAGCTAAAGGGTTCGCGGTTGGGTTCTTGTACACTGTGGTGGGATTGTTGCTGGCTTTTGTTACTCATGTTATTGTCTATGTGAGGAATAGGAATGCTCAGAGGTTGGTGATGTTTATTTCCTCCTGGGCTGTTCAGATGATTTTTGTTGGCATTCTTGTTGCATTTCTGGTTTCTTGATTTTAGTTTGTTCTACCGTGTTAGTTTTTGTTAGTGTTTCAGATAAGGAAAATTGACGTTTTATTTTTGGTGTAAATTAACAATGTACCTTTTATTTTGCTTTTGTGCTCATATTCTGTATTTGCAACTGTTGCTAAAAAAATTGAATCATGTAATTGGCAGTGATTTATGTATCTTTTTGGTGTTGTCTTGGTGAAATGCTTGTAATAAGCATAGCAATCACTTGTTTTCTCGTTTTCTATGGTATCTGTTCTAGATCTTCTTTCACATGTAGATATGGCGTTGAGATAAGTTTCCGACTAAATGAGGAAAGGTGCAATTTTGAATGGTAAACCTGCGGCCAAATTGCAAATCACATGCCAAATTATGAACTAGAGCTATAAGTTGGCATTTGCAGTTGGTAGTGGGTGTTTCTTCAGGAGTTGGAAGAATTTGATTCACAATTCCATAACATTTTAAAAGGCTATACTACGTACTCAGTAATTAGACTAGAGAGGATGATGCTTGAGTGCTAGAGCTTAGTGCAAGAGGATACTGCTATATTATTTGTGACATAAGTAATTCTCAATCAACTTGCACAACGGTGATCTTTATGGTAGTTTTCTAGTTCAAGTAAGAATAAGTACTTTGTAAAATCTGTTTTGCTTGCTTTCCTGGAATTTAAGTTTCATGTCTTACATGGTAGTTTGTTCTCCATATAGCATTATTTTATACTATATAATCACAAACTTTTTGCTGGATGTAGGTTGGATTTTCTGTTAACGGAGTAATAATACTAACTTTTATGTGGGTTTTGAAGGCATTCCTTGAGGTAATACCTTTTCTTTTCACATGAATGGTTCCCATTTTTTGTGCCATTCTTGAAGTAAATTTCATTGTGAATGTTTTGTAATGTCCCGCCACTTGCCTAACTTACTAGTTTGATTGGAATACAATATTAAGGGGTGCTGGTTTTCTATGGAATTAATACACCATGACAAACAGCAAAAGTAATTTCAGAGATCTAGAACAAGAAAGTTGTTTTTTGCTTTTAAATGGCAAAGAAACATTCTAGTTATGTTGGTACACATTGCTCCTACTTGACACCTTATATCATGATCGACATTACTTTGGTTATCATACTTGACACCTTGTATCCTCTGTGGTGCATTAGTTTGGATTGTTTTGGTTTAGTTTAGTTTAGTTTATTTGAATGTTTTAGCTAAGCAAGTGAACTGAAGTTGCTTTTCCTTTAGTGTTGTGCTTATCGTCTTATCAACTGGTTATATTGTTCATAGCAGTACTTATATCAGTACTTGTTATAGTAGTGCTTGTTGCCTTATCAACTTGTTATATTATTCCTTTGAGGCTGAAGTTTAATAGCAGTACTTATTTCTTGAGCTAATTTGGTGCATTAGTTTGGGCCTGATTTTGATTTTCTTTGGGGCTGATTTTGAATGTCCAGCTTTAATTATTGAGGTTCTTATTGGATTGCAAATTTTAGCTAAGCAACCGAACTACAAGAGATATAGTGAAATTGGGAAATGGCAAGGTTTAGTGAAATTTTGTCTGATGTTAAAAATTCCCCCTTGTGTTGAAATTTGGTATTTTTTTTTCACGACAAAACAGCCTAGCAAATTGTCACACTTAAAAGACAGTATCTTTTATCGGAACAAAACAATGACTAAATTCGTTTATATTATTCCAATCTTGTTTGCCACATCCAAAGCATCGTAGTCTGGAGTCAACCGAACATATGCTTTCTTTGTTCCATCAGGCCTGATCAAAGTGTTCACTTTCTTGATCTGTATGTCGTACATCTTCTTCACTGCATCTTTGATTTTCTTCTTATCAGCACGGATGTCAACTATGAATACCATGGTATTGTTATCTTCAATCTTTTTCATGGCAGATTCAGTAGTCAAAGGATATTTGAGAATCTGATAATGGTCCAACTTATTCCTAGGAGGAGCACTGATGCGTGGGTACTTCGGGTTCCCGTCCTTTTTCAATGTCTTAGGACGATGGAAGGTAACTTTGGTCCGGATCTTCTTGGCTTTCTTCTTAAAAGTTGTCCCAGATTTGACAAATTTGGCAACCTTGGCTATAGGGTGTTGTTGAACTTCATTATGATATTTGAATGCTTATATGATATTTTGACATTTCGTAATGCAATGGATGCATTCATTTGCTAATTATAAATCATTGTCATTTTTTTCCATTTATAGATATAATTGTTGTAGGAAAATTTTCAATTTTCATGGTGATAAAGAGTTATCATTGAATCAGAATTTTTCATTAATAACAATATATAGTTGCACTTAAATGTTCGCTTTTGTTTATATGCTGATTTTAAGTTTAAGGATGGAGTGTAATTACTTGTAAGATTTTTTTTGTTTATTGTACCAGTTGTCACTAGATTTGGTTCAAGAATGGCTAGCAGAGAATGCCAAGGAATCAATATTGGGACAGGACATGAGTATTAGTGGAATAGCAACTTATCAGCCATTTGATGGATTGATGGAGTTGAAAGTGGTAAGTACTTTGACATTACGTCTCATTTCTATCTGTTGTGCAGTTAATACTTGTTGAGTTGCGTAAAAACCTCTGAAGTTTATTGCATTTCCTGCTTCTACTGTGCAAATTTTTCTGAAGCAATTTCTGTTCTGAAGTGCTATTGACTCTATTAAAATTGAAGGAGAAACTTCCCATGCAGCAAGTAATTTGAATGAATGCCTTCTATCTGTTTTATGGTTAATACTTGCTGGGTTGCATAAGAATCTCTAAAGTTTATTGCATTTTCTGCTTCTACTGTGTTAATTTTTCTGAAGCAATATCCATTCTGAAGTGCTATTGACTCTGCTAAAATTGAAGTAGAAACTTCCCATGCGGCAAGTAATTCGATTGAATGGCTGCTTTGATGATGTATATTTAATTCATATGAAGTATCTTTTGGTAAGTGCTTTAGAATGAGTAGAATCTTGGTGAAGAATCTCCACTTGCGATACAAAATTGAGTGTGAAGCTAGTTGATATCCTGATTCTATCTAAACTAAAGACAGAAAAACAAGGGAAAGACATTCGAAATGAAGCAAATATGTCCTGCATGAGTCTAAATCATTCTGTCAATGCACAAAATCGTGTCATGAAGACAATCTTTGGCAGATGTCACAGCACAAATTAGTCATGTATGTTGTACTACTTCTTTGAACTACTGGAATTTGCAATGCGTTCCATTGGTAGCAGAGTACAGGCAAGAAAATGAAAAATTAGATTAAAAAAATTCCAAACGTATTTAAGACTCAGGGCTTGCTTTTGCCTGCCTAAAGTCTCAAAAATCTTGAAAATGATTACTGTTTCATGTTTTTTGGTAATCAATTTGTGGTTTTCAAACAATGAATTACAAGTTTGGTCACTACAATTTGTTGTATGTGATTTGTCACTTGTAAATAATGGCTTTGACATTCCTGTGTATCCTAACCAAAGTATTGTGTCTGCATAATTATGATATTGACAAATGTGCTTAATGAACACTAGTTGCTAACTCACTTTAGTTAAAAGATGATAGTTTTGAATATGTTTCTGCTTCTTGTAGTAGCACTTTCTCTCCCCCTGCCACTGTTGGAGTCTTAAAAGTAATTATTCTGGCAATAAGTCCACAGGTTACTATTAACATGGACTCGGATAAAGTTTGACTTTTTGGCTCTAGGTGTAGCTCTTATAGCTTCCAGCTATTAGGATATCCAATTTGTCTCTTCAATTAGCCAACTTGCAATCATGTGTACGGTGCTTGGACTTGCTTTTTATCTTGTTGCTGTATATGCTGATTCACTATTCTTGTAGGCAGTAGTTGGATTCATGTCTCAAGTAATGGACAAATTAGTATCCTTCAAAAGTGCTTGGTAGGTGACAATATTAACTTGTAGTATCAAGCCTCAAAAGTGCTTGGTAGGTGATAAGGCTGCTTTTTCTTGTTTATTAGACCTTATGTATAGTTACATATTTTTAGATATATGAAATCCTATGACATTCAAAGCTTCAAAGACTACTTTTGGTCTAAAACACAGTGAAGTTTGCAAAGTTGTTTCTCATAAATGTGGAATCGTTTGTTGCTGTCCTTTGACATCTTAATATTAAAATAAAGAAGTGGAACAATTCTGCCCATATAATCCTTGGCTCTTAATGAATGTTATTAAACTTCCATCCTCTAGTAGACTCTGTTTCCGAACTACCCATATAATGTCTCTTTTTCTACTCTTTGTATAGCCACTATCTAGATGAGACTTAAAACAAATGATTCACTTTATTTTTTGGTGACTCCTTAACTAATTTTCCTTGTTTTAATTTTTCTATCATCTACTAATAACTTTACTATTTTATTGCAGATATATTGCTCATTTTAGAGGTTTGGAAGATTAGCAGTACGGCTTACGTGTCGACTCAAAAACTATGGTTATAGTGCTATCTTAAGTTTAGAAAATGTTTCGGTAGCACGGAAAATGTTTTGGGACTTGGAATTGTTTTTTAGTGTAGCCTTGACTTATATGGCAAAATTTGCTCTATTGAAACTTATCAAACTATTTGTAGTGTGATGTTGCACTTATTTATGACATTTGAATATTTAATATGTTATTATGGCATTTCCTATTGTAACGGGTGTCTACGTTTGTTATTTATTAAACATTGCTGATGTTTTCATTTTTTAGATATTATTGTAGTAGGAAAATCATCAAACTACACATTGCAAGGTGTTGTAAATGAGTAGCATTTCTCAAGCAGGCTGTCTTTATTGACAATTGTTGTTGTCACTGAATCAAAACTATTCATTGATAAGAAGTTGTTGTCACAGTTGATAAGGGGTTTATTGACAACAAAGTTGTCACTAATTAATATATATGCTGACTATGTTGCTTCATGCATCATTGACAAGAAAGCATGTCGTCACTAAATTTGTAGCTTTTATTGACAACATATCTTGTCATAAAAAAGTTTTTATTCACTGACGACTTTAAAGTCGTCACTGTATACTTTTACCGACGGAGATTCAGTAACGACTCTGTGACAACCGAAATGTTGTCAATAAAAGTCATCAGTGACGACTTTTTGCTTTTTTGTGACGAAAAGTAGTTGTCATTGAAGACCAAAATTCTTGTAGTGGGAAATCCCTAAGGGTCTAGCGTTGGACTAGCCCATTCTATGGATTCCTACTAGCGTTGGACTAGCGGAAACGTACATTCACCCATCACATTCATTCATGGCTATGGAAAGCGAGTAGACATGCCAAACACTCATAAACACATAGCACATAACATTTAGCATGCTTGACTAGATGCAAGGCCCTAACAAAGCAAATTAACACGTAGCAACTAAGCATGCAAGACACATAAGACAATTAAAGCCCTAACTATTACATTTGCTAGCTAGGCACATGACTTCGACAGGTCTTCATTGAATGCTCCTCCAAGCCCTATCTATTACATTAGGGAGACCCTACTACAATCTAAAAGGGGGAAAAGGAATAAAATAATTAAATCCCTAACTATTACAAGCCAAGAGGTGTACACATACCCCATAAAGAATAACTTAAATAAAAAGCAAAAGTAAATGACATAAATAAAAGAAATTAAAGAAAGGCTAGGAAAGCAAAGTAGACATGTATATTCACATAACACGTAGGAGCACGTAGGAAAAATAACTCAAGAATATAGAAGTTACCTCCCTTGCAATGGAAATCGAGTAAATGAGATATTAGCTTCAAAATAATAAAAAGGGTCAAGGCACCAATTTAAAAGTAAAGTATGAGCAAAATCACCAAAGCCCTCCTTATTGCAACTTGAATGAACTCAAAAGATGCTTAAAGACCAAGAAAACGGAATAACCCGTCCAATTTCCAAGTATAGCATCTACTAAAAGCTCAAAACAACCCTTGATCGATCATTCAAGTCCAAATGACACATTTTAGGAACTTTAAAAGTCCAAAAGCAAGGAAAGGTCAAAATAACCCATTTATTTAGGGAAGTTAAAGAAAATAGGCAAAAACAAACTTATTTAGGCACAAAGTTCACAAATTCATGCATTAAATACCACCTAAACAAAAGAAAGCAAATGAGCAATGAGTTGCAAAGTTGAGGCTACCAAGGACTCAATTGCGAACATTAACCAAGTACTCAAGCTTAAATCAAACACTTTTAAGAGCTTCGGGGGTCCAAGGGCAAAGGAAAAGTCAAGTAAGGGGTTGAAATGCAAATGATTTAGGACTTAATTGCAAGAAATGAAAACATAATTGAGTCTTAATGAAACAAGGAGATATGTGAATGGTCAAAGTGCAATTATTCTAGGACTTGATTGCAAGCAATTGGAATGTAATTGGGTCCTTGTAGAACAAAGGGGGACTTGAGGGGTTAAAAGGCAATTTCTGAAATATTTTCCATGCAGTATACATGCAAAGCTACGAGATATGGTTTGCAACAAGAAATATTTCTGATACAAGCTTTCTACAGCCAAGAAACATCACCGCATCTTGCATTCACGCACACTGATTTCCACCCCAAGCAATCTTTTGATCAAAAGCTTTTCAACCAAACATCCAAAACCTTATCTAAGCAACATGTAACGCAATTTTGACATTCAAACAAACCAGAATATAGAAGGAAAAATCATGCAAATACTGGAAAATTCAATGCAAAATGGTTCGGCAATCCTACTCTATGCATTGTCCAGCAATGTTTAGACATGTTTCAAACTTTCCTTGAACCCAAACACACAAACATTAACACCACCTTCCAATACATTCATTCAACATCAAATTAAACTAACAAAAGAGGTTTAAAACCAGTTTTGTGAGCTGTTATGGGAAGAAAGGAAAAAAAAACAGCAAAGTGTGAGGATGAAGTGTAGCTTTTTCTTTTTTTTTTTTGTTTTTTTTGACAGAAACACGTGTAGGAGGAAACGAAATGGGAGCAACGGAAAACAACACCAGTGTGCAACTAATAGAACCTAAAACCAGATGCATTGCTCTTAACTGAAGCAAACAAACCAGAAAAAAAAACAAGTTACATGGCTCCAGCTTTCCCCTATTCATTTTTCTTCTCGGACTTTGAAAGCAAACAGGAAGCTGCGTGCCTTCTAAACATAGCCAGCTTATGAGCAGTCCACAAAACTCCACCGAAACCCAAAAAAACAATTACTTGAGCAAAATAAACAAACAGGAGCAAGGGGAATGAAAACAGCATAAATGCAAAATTACAACCTAACCACAATGAAATGGCTGCAGCTGCCATGAGCCAAAAGCTTCAAGCTCACTGCAGCAGACTTGTGCACACAAAATCCCACCCCCAACGTCATCTAATCCCAAGAGACAAAATTATCAAGCAAAAACTGCACCCAAAACACAGGTAAACAACGAAAAGGAAGCATCTTTGTCTTGTAGAATGCAAGCAAAACGTAAGGAAATAGCAGAAAACCAACTGGATTCTTCCCATAAGCAATCATCAGAGAAGACAAGCAAGTTAATAACTCTGATTTTCATCCTTTGGCTAGCAAATGTTAAGGATAAGAGGGAGGAAGAATCCATTACAGTGTTTTTCTCAAAATTTCGATGGCGATGGCGGTGGGTCTTGGCAAGCGATGGCTACTTCCAGCTCTCCATCCGTTGTTTTGCTATTGGCTCAAGGCCTCCCTCCGTTGGCCTCTTTTGATTTCTTTTACTCTCGGCCGCAACTGCAGCTCTCCCTCGCTCTCTTAGTTGCTCACCAAGAACCTCTCTATCGCCTCTTTCTGGTCTTTCTTTTCTTTTCTTTTCTCAGATTTTTCCGCCGCTGATTTTCTTTCTGCTCATCCGAGAACTTCCCCCATTTTTCTGGTTTCTTTCCCCTTTCTCCCATGAATTCTCCTCCTCCTTCTTCTTCCCTCAGCTTCCCTACCAAAACTCCACGCCAGCTACCCAGTTTTCCTGTCCTATTTCTTCCCGTACAACTCTCTCAGCCGCGCCTCCTTTTTTCTTCTCTTGCCGTTTCAAACTCTCTCCCCTCAAACCTCTCCTTTTGCGGCTGCCATCTTCTTTCCTTTTATATGGGAACCTCCAACCCTAAAACTCCAGTACTTTCTTCCATATTTGCAGACAGAGGATCTGCCCCAAGCCCTTCTTTTGCAAGCTGCGACAAAACGTAGCTTGCATGCCGCGTTTTCCTTTTTTTTTTTTTTAAAAAAAAAACAACTTAACAAAATAAGATAACTAATTAATAATAAAGAACTAATGAAGAAAAAATTAAATACAATGAGCGGAAATAAGCATAAAAGGATAAAAATGAAATGCTAATTTTCTTTTCTTTTTTTTTCTCTTTTTTCCCTTTTTTTCTTTTTTTAAGTAATTTAGCAAAAATGATAATAAAATTAAGTAAAAACCAACAATTTAATTAACATCAGATAAAAATAAATAAATAAATAAACTAGAAATAATAAACAGCAAAGTTGCAATTTTTCATTTTTTTCATTTTTCCTTTATTTTCATTTTTAAATAGTGAAACTAAAATCTAAAATAACTAAAACATATTTTTTGAACGGCTTTTCTTTTTCCTTTGAGAAATTCTATGCTAAAACTTAAAAAATAAATATAATAAACTAAAAACTAAAAAGAAATGAATAAAACTCACACGACCAATAAAACTAAAAAACAAAAGGTAAATGTAATAGACCACTAAAAGAGCAAAAACGAATAAAACTAACAATAATGATCTAAAATGCTATACAAATGCAAACAGTCTAAAACGAAAATCATGAAATTAACAAAAATAAATGGATACGAATTATCACTAAAAACGGAGCATACAAATTATTCAAAATTTGGTGTCTACACCTTACACTGCGAATACACGAAAAACCCTATTTCACTTTGATTTGAAATCGGAAAGGAAAACCCTAATTTCCTATGATCATTGGCATTTTTTTTTCTAGGATGATTGAGTAGTAAGATGGTATAGAATAATATTTTCCAAATAATTTTCAAATAAAAGGAAATTTTCAAGAAATATATAAGGAATTTGCAAGTCCTCACACCTGCGGGTCGGGGACCATCTGTTCCTCGACCATTCTTAAAAGGTGGCTCACTTCTCGAACTCTGTCCGGTCGCAAAATTGCTCGAATCGGGTTGCCTCCTTTTCCGATCATGAAAGACTTTTACCTGTCCCCTAGCTGTCTCAATCCGTTGTGTTTTTTCTAGCGCCTGGTTAAACGTGTCCAACTGAGCAGCTGCTAGTGCCTCCTGGATCTCCACATTCAAGCCTTGGATAAAGCGGCGAATTCGCTTTTGCTCCATTAGCACCAATTCCGGAGCAAAACGAGAGAGTTTTGTAAACTGGGTTTCATACTCCGCCACACTGGATGCCCCTTGGCGCAGGTGGATAAAATCATCCTCACGTCTCTCTTGTACAATGGGAGGTAAATATTTTTCATTAAATTCCCGTGTAAAATTAACCCATGTCCAGGGGGTCTGTTCTCACTCCCACTTGGCTTTAATTACATTCCACCAAACTCGAGCAGCCCCCTCAAACTGAAAAACAACAAAAGATATCTGTCGTTCCTCTAAATACCCAAGTACGGCAAATATATCCATCATACGGTCCATCCAACCCTCTGCTAGGTTAGGATTAGGTCCACCTATAAACTTTGGATGTGCAAATTTTTGGAACCGTTCTAAGGCACGGTCCTCTCTCTCATGATTGCCTGGATTATTTCCAGGATTTCCTGTAGTATTCCCATGGTCCTGACCCTGCTGGTCAACCATACGTTCTAACAGGTCAGCCATTCGTTGGATGGCTGTAGCCACTTGATCTGGCTCATGTTCATTTTCCCTTTCAAGGTTTCGTTCTCGCCCTTTACCTCTACCCCGACCACCGGAGTCCATTTAGATGCAAAAGTCTATAAATACCAATAAAATGTACACTTGGTATTCAAAATGTGAACAAAATAGAGAATACCAAATGAAAATGCACATATACAAGAGTCACACACAAAAAAAATGAACCCAGAAAAATTGTTTTCAACTATATACATATATGTACACAAAAGGTTATATACCAAAGTGTTCCCAAAAGTCACATATATATCTACAAAGTCATACCAAAAGAGTTACAAATCACCCGACCTCCAGTCGGTACAAAACCCAGTATATACATGAGCACCCAGCTCCAAAATGTAGTCAGTCAACCAAATAACAAAAGAAACCAGCCATGTCAGTTCTAACAAAAGTAATCCGCCAGATAGTCAAAAAAAAGTACAAAGGCGACCCTAAACGCCTCCCCTAGGAACCGAATTCCCAACGGAACCTAGAGTATCCACCTCGTCCATCAGCTCTGGGCCGGTAACTCGTGGGGGTGCCTCTGCGGCCACATCTAATAGGACCTCACAGTCTAGCATGATACCCCGAGCCCTCTCCCTCAGCTGCCCCTGCAAGGCGAAGAGGTGCTGGTGTGTGTCATGAATCTGACGATGAAGAGCGTCCGTCCTCTCCACCTCAACTCGGAGGCTCTGGTCCAACTCCCTAATATGCATAGCCTGCCCATGACCAACCTCTCTAGCCTCCTCAAGCTATCTAACCAGGCGATCGGTCGCCTTCCCCAGGTAACGTCGCTCGTCATCCACTGCCAGGACGATCTCATCCGAGTAGCCATATGTATGGCGACACTCACACGATCGGTGCGGCATCCGACGAAAGGGTGAATACGAAATGTAGGGCTCCCCAGGTCTCCTCTCCTCTGATATCGGATCTCCCACCTACGTAACACCCGGTTCACCGAGCCCCCCGCACTCGGAGGTTTCAGTCCCGGTCCAGATCCTACGCCACTGGGTTCCGTACCACTAGAACTGCCCGGATCCATACCTATAAAACATTAAGTCGTCAGTTTACCGGCATTTTAGCTTAAAATATACCATTCATCTTAAAGGAATCATAAGGGATCAAATATGCCTAGTGCCTATCACGTATATCCCAATTGCCTAAGTCCTCTAACTTAGGCGCTCTGATACCGCCTGTGACGCCCCTGCTTCTCCTAAGGGCGAACCCTAGGGTATCAGCAGGACGCCTGCCTAACTCGCGCCAGAACTCGAAATTTCAAAACAATAAAAACTAGATAAACCAAAAGTGTACTATTCACAATATAGCCAACTCCAAAAGAGTTCTATTTACATCCCCAAAAGCAGCTAGTCAAACCACTATATTACATTATGATAACAACCAGCAAAAAGTAGACCCTTGTCGCGCCCCATTTTTTGATAAGAAAAAATAAAGGGTTTGAGAAAGATGTTTTTGATTCAATTGTGATTGGAGAATGATTTTTGTGAGTTGAAAAGACATGGGTCTCAATGGGACTTGGGAAAGAGCGACGATTTGACCCAAAAAATAGTTTTTTTAAAAGGGTTTTTAAATGAGAAATTGGAGTCGCCACTTGGTAATGATTAAGGTGTACCAAGTCACCTAAAAAATAAATTTTTAAAGACAAAGTAGTAAAACCCTTTTAAAAACGACTCCTAGTCCACGTAAGCCAAAGAAAAAGGTTCGGGAGTTCACGTTTGACAAAGGGGAAGCAGGATAGAATCCAAGGCGCACCCCTTTGAACCTAGCAAGGCTTTAGAGTTGCGCGACTTAACCTTACTTTCCTAATTTCTACCAATGATGCTATTGCACGGTGGATATGACTATATGATATTTGCAAAAACGGAAAGAAAAATGCAGATTCCTAAATTCTACAGATGTCTCTTGTGAGGCTTTTGGTCCCAAACCACATGAATTGTGGCGGCCAACAAAGGAAAACCTCATAGAGGTCGATTAATGCAAATGAGAGTTCAAATTCAAGTGTGCAAGTGTGAAAGTGTATGAAAGATGCAAGAAATGTAAGTGCAAGTGTGCGAATGTATAAAAAGGTGCATGTGTGAAATTGTATAAAATTCAAGTGTTTTTTGTGTGCAAATGTGTGAAAAATAGAATAATAGATATATAAGGTAAAGTGGAATTTCATTTGTGAGGTGGAAATAAGCACGTGATAGGAAAATGTAGTGAGAAAGTATGGTTTGAGAAATGTGCAAAATTGTGGTTAAAAAAGTGTATGGATGTGATAAAAATGAAAGTATGACCCTAGGGGAATGCAACAAGTCGGGTACGGGGGTTGACTCCTAACCTTTCGACTTCTATTTTCCCTTTGATTAGAAGGCGAAACTAGCGTGCTAAGGCTATCGAGTAGCCACACTCGCTCGTTTCCCTTTTTATCAAGATGGGGTCGATTTTCATCGCAAAATGAACCCTAAGCTAGCATGAGATGCAAGTTCCTAAAGTGGAAAGGGGAAGGTTTGAGCGTAACATACAAATGAATAAACTAAGGAAAATGCGTGATATGTGGTGATCATGCACTTAATGAAAAAGGGAAAAAAGAACCTATTGGGTCTAGCATTGGACTAGCTCATTCTATGAATTCCGACTAGCGTTGGACTAGTGGAAACGATAAAAGAAGCCACAACTAGCGTTGGACTAGTGTGGTGACGTACATTCATCCATTCCATTCATCCACACTATAAAAAGCGGGTAGACATGCGAATCACTTATAAGCACGTAGCACATAACACTTAGCATGCTTGACTAGATGCAAAGACCTAATAAAGCGATTAAACACTTAACACGTAGGCATGCGACCAAACTAATGAACCTATTACATTCACTAACTAAAACAAAAGGGGAAAGGGAAATTGGACCAAATTGCTCGCCACAGCCCTATCTATTACAAGCCAAGAGGTGTACACATACCCCATAAAGAATAACTTAAATAAAAAGCAAAAGTAAATGAAATAAATGAAAGTAATGAAAATAAAACTAGGAAAGCGAAGTAGACATGTATTTCGCACGTAGCACATTGGTTCACATAGAAGTGACGAAAAAGATAAAAGAAATTATACCGCCTCCTTTTATGGTGCTAATAGGGTGGACAAGACTTAAATGGCTTATTTATCCTCCAAAATAAAAGAAATGGTCAAGGTACCAATTTATTTGGGGAAAATTAAAAGAAAAGTGTAAATACCAAGCTCACATGATCCTAAAGCCACTAAACCATGAATTGAAGCAATAAGCAATGAAGTTGTAGAATTAAAAAACCACCAAGGACCAAATTGAGACAAATAACCAAGCACTCAATCCTAAATGAACGTTTTTGGGAACTTCAAGGGTCTCAAAACAAAGCCAAAGTCAAGCAATCACAAGCAATCACATAAATGCCTAAGCATTCCATATTCATGAAATAAAGCCCCAACTATTGTGATTAAAATCCTCAAAAACATCCAAATTCCACATAAAGCCAAATTATCCCATAAAGTTCTTGAAATCCTTTGATCTCATCCTAAAAAAAAAACTGTACAAGAGCCTAACCAAAACATACCAGCAGCAATGAAGACTACAGAGAAACAAGATTGATCAAATAAGTCAAGTAATGGGGCCAATAGTACATTGCTGCGAAATCCAAGGGACCCAATTGATTAAATTTTCAAAATTTCTGGGTCATAGTGGCAGAAGGGGAAACTTGAGGGGGTTAAGATGCAATTTTGAAGAGCTATTCCATGCATGCACGAAGAAGATTTTTGCAATGAAGAAACTCAGCAATATAGTTTCTGTGCTTGTTACTCATTCGGCCAAATTCACATTTATACAAACAACCCAAACACAAGATGCAAGGACTTGAACAAAGATAGGGAGAAATCCAAACAGGCTTTTGAACTCCAAACAGCAAAAGTGATCTGAACCATATGCTAATCTTTGAAAATCAAGAGTTTCTGCAACCAAAACAAAGGCTGCTCCCTTTTATTTCCCAAAGCTTCGACAACATCCAGCAACAACTACATCCATCTCATCATACAAAGAAGTTCATCAAACCAGAAAATATTGACCCTGTGACGCCCCGAAAAAAAAGAGTTTGAGAACCCGTAAAAACCCTAATCCTTTTCGAGGGTTTTACTTCCTTTAATAGCATGTTTTCTGTGTTTTCTGGCTTAGGAAATTTTCATGAGGAATTTTTATGAGTAATTATAGTTTTTAGATGATTTTTCTAGCCTTGGAGAGTTTTTGAAAAATTAAGAATATATAATGGACGTGGGACCCACTAGTGCGAAAAGTTCGAAAAATTCGGCCAATTAGGTTAAATTCCGGATACTGTGTAAAATTTATCGGGTGTTAAGAGATAAGTAGAGAGTGAGATTTGATTGATGTGAGAGGAAAGAGAAAGATAAGATTGCATTTATGAAGGTGACAAGTGTCACCACTACATTGGTTTTAACTTAAGA